CTGCGAGGCCAACATCGACGAGTGCCAGTCGAGCCCGTGCGTTCATGGGGACTGTGTGGACGCAGTGGCCGATTTCCAGTGTGAATGTTTCCGGGGATACATTGGGAAGAAGTGTGACATCAACGTGGATGACTGTGTGCGGCACCAGTGCCTAAATGGAGCTACCTGCATTGATGGGGTTTATGGCTATTCCTGCAAGTGCCCGGCCCAGTATTCAGGCCCTCGCTGCGAGTAGGTGCCTTGCGTGCTTTGAGGAAGGGCTTAGAGGATCCCCCAGATAAACTCGGATTTTTACTTGGGGACACTTTGGTAGTTTTCCTCCCTTGCTTTTAAATGCTTGGTCAGTCACAGTGTGTCCTGGTTCTCATACAGCTCCATCATACAGTAGTGGCAGCACAACCTGCACTCGGCGCGCCAAAAGCAAAATTCCAGATGATTTCCAAGACTTTTCTCGGGTTGTGTCAAACCTTTGCCACCCCAGTCTCCACTGAATCAGAGAGCACTTTAGAAATGATTGCTCCTACTGTTGCAAAAGAGAGCTTTAAAGGTTATCTCTTGTTTTTTCCAGATGGCCGTTCCCACCCCAGCAATGTGGCAAGAACTTCACCTGTCTGAATGGTGGTAAATGCGTCAGCGAGACCTGGGGAGCCAACTGCAGTTGCAGGCCAGGGTTCACTGGAAGGAAGTAAGTGCCTGCAAAGGAGCTAGTGCTAACATTTTTACATCACTGAGATAACTGAAGAGGTTCACATGCTTCATCCTGTCATATATCCTTTTGCCATTCAAATGACTACTTGAAAACTGCAAATTAAATGTTATTTTTAGAAGAGGTAGGTTTGATAATGATACTGCTGGCATTGCTGATTTTCATAGCTAGACTGTTTGTAAGTATTTTGTAATTTTAAACATCTCTATTTCATGACTGAGTTAAATAGCTAGAAAACTTGATGGGATCAGTTCAGGAGAAGTAGTGGTACTGGCAACTGTGTAGAGACAAGTCACTTCGAAACAAACGCTAGGATACAGTGAATGATTAAAACCAGACCCATCATTTTGCAGCTGCAAAAGTGTGCTTACATTTATCCGTTTTCTGATTCTAATTTCGTAACAGCCTTATGCCTTATGGGAATTCATTAACTGGGCTAGAGAGCCATACTGGCTTCTATCATTTAGAAATGACAGGAGGATTTTTATGAATGGTTAAAACTTTCATGTTGTTTGACCCTGGAGAAAGCATCTGAAAAAGAAGCAAAGGAAACTTTTAAAATAATTGAGGCTTTTGCAGGCTGTATGCTCCACACAAACTCAAGAACCAGGTGTAAGAAATTTAATTCTAATATCTTTTCCTTTCCAGTTGTCAAATTAACATAAATGAGTGTGATCCAAACCCTTGCCAGAACGGAGGTACGTGTCAAGACTCTGTGAACAAATACGAGTGTGTGTGCAGTGCCAGCTACACGGGAGACCGCTGTGACGTTAACGTAAGCACCTCCTTCCCTTTGCACTTGGAAGTTCCTCTCTGTCCTTCCCAGCTGTGATTGTGAGGAACAGAAATAGCCTTAGAAATAGTCCCTTGGTACGAGGATGCTAGGGCAACGGCCTTCGTGCTGCAGAGTCACCTCTGTGTTTTGAAGGAAAGCGCGCTAGGAAGCACAGGTAGGAAATCAGCTGGTACCAAGGAAACACAAAATGTGAAACTTTTTTTTTTGGCAATGTTCATGCATGTTAGTCTCCAGCATAGAAATAAATGTGCCAGTTACTTACCAGTGTCTGACATGGGCTGCCATATGGGTTTCAGGGTTCTATATGGGTGTCAAAAAGTAGATAATAAGTAATACCTGTCTTATGCTCATAGAGAAAAGGAAAACCAGAATTCTAATTACATCTTTCTCCTCCTCTCTGCCCCCTTCACCGCCTTGCGCTGCCTCCCACAATTTTGGGAGAATGCAAGTTCAATTGGTATTTTATTTATATTTTGCATGAGATAATTTGAAGTAGCAAATACAATTCAAATAGAAGTAGAAAAACAATGTGCTTCTACCCACTGACTCTGATTTTCTGACCACTGGATAGGAAGGCTTTATGATGCTTTTCCTTTTCTTCATGAGCAAAGCATTGGTGTTTGAGATCCTTCCTGTCTGGCAGCTGTTAAATCACACCTTGCTTCTTTCTCTGTAAAGCCATTGCATGGACACGTAGCTTGTCTGGTAACCTGGGAATGCACTAACCCGTACTGCATGGAAAATGCTATGCACCAAGGTGGAGTTTGCTGCTGTTGCTGTTACTAAGGGTAATAGAGTTATAGAATGCATGTGCCACGGGTCCCTCCTGACATTTCCAGTTTGCATGCATAAACTCCATCACGTACAGCCCTTCTGTCCCACATACTTGTAGACTCCCCTTATTGACGCTCATCCTCCCTGTGACCTGTTGCAGAACTGTCTTTCCTTGAAGAGTGGCAGTTCTTGTGGTGGTGCTGGGAAGAGCAGAGCGTGGCTAACTGGAGTGTGCTCTTAGTGAGCGGCCTAGAGAAGGCAGTGCCTTGGCTGCCGGCCCTCTGCGCCCTGCCAGCCGCAGCAAGCGAGGGCCGTGGTGCAGGCGCCGCTCGGGCATCGCCGCGGTGCCACTAACCTGCATGTTCTGCATAGCTGGAACTAACCCCTAGCACGTGGCTGGAGTTCCGGGTTTGTGCGAGGAGGAGGAGAATCCAGCAGCAATCGATTTGAAATTCAGTCATTTGAGGATGGGAGGACTTTCAAGAACTCTGTTCTCTTGGGAATATTCTTGCTCGCTGTTGGAGAGCCTCCTTTTTCTTCAGCGCTGTTTTCTGCCCTACATTGCTTTGTGAGAGTGGTCCAGAGTATACAGAGCTTGGTATCTAGTTGCTTTAAATAATCAAACTTGATTTCTTTTGCTTTTCATCTGCAAGGTGGCAGATACTATTTTTGATAATAAGAAAGATTTCTTAAGCTTATCAGATCATTTTAAGGCTTTCTTTAATGAGACAAATTCCACAATGTTTTCATTCTTTATTACTTCATCCTCACTACCATCCTTAATCCCAGAGGGGCAAAGCAATACTCATGTGGCTACATTTCTTCAGTCCTCAGGCTTTCTCTTTGACATCTCCCATCAATACATCAGTCTTTCTAACATTCTCACCTCCCTGCTGCACGTTGTCTTAATGTCAACAGCAAGTTAGAGTCCTACAGAGCAGACTTAAGAGTGTGAGCCTTGGCGGTCTACAACTTCTCAATTGCAAAATCAGTGGATTTCATACATAACATTCATTATTTTACTTTATTTAATAAAATTCCTGTAAGGTTTTTATATCAGTTCTTGATTTCATAGTCTTCCGCTTTGCAATATGTTAAATATTAAGCCTGAAAACATCTGGTGCTGGTGAAATTTCTAGTGATAGCAGACTGAAATATAAAGTTAGATGTTATTTGTAAGAAGTTGTCTTAAGACAAGATTGCCACCTCAGCTGCTGATTGCACTGGCATTTGAATCTTAAGGGGCTTTCCTGCCATGAAAAGCCTTATGCAAGGAGGAAAATACAGTGTGTGATGTTATTTGAACTGTTTTACTTCATCTAACATGTCCAAAATGTTGATCAGACTCTTAACTACTGCTCCTTCTAATTGTAACAAACAGCTGTATAGTTTGGTTAGCAACTGATGTGCAAAGGACTGTTTCTTCATAGCAATTTTCTAGCCTCAGGTTAGTCCCATAAATTGTCTGCGTTTAGGTTTGCTGTCTCTATGCCAGCTAGCTAATCAGCTTACGAAATCTTCTCTTTTCTTCCTCATGATAATTCTGTCCTTGTGCCCTGCATGAATTATTGTAACGTAATTAACTGTCTCATCAGCAAATATCTGTATATAACTCTGTCCTATTGAGATTATCTAGCAGCTTTGGCAGAGCTGAAGAATGTCCCTGATGCCACTAGTTTTAAATTACAAAGCAGAATTCAGAGCTTCTTATTGGCTGTTCTTTGCATTTAAAAAAAAAAAAAAAAACAAATTTGAAAACAGTTTGCTTAGAGATTAATGTTCTCTGTACAGGTGCCCTCAAGCCTTCTATTTATTCCTCATTTCTCCTCTTCCATTCAGGTGCAGATCATCTGCCCACCTTTTTCATTTTCTTCTTAGTTTCTTCCCCTCTCACCCTTCTCCGGTCTGACCACTTGGGGCTCTCCAGCTTAAGTCCTGGTAACTCCTGCCGTTTCATGGTTTCTCTGTTAATTTCTTTTACAGAAAGGGACTCCCGGTGCTTTCTTCCCTTCCCCACTAATTGAAGTAGCTGTCCCTGTAGCCTGTGGCTCTTTACTGCTACTCAGTATCGGTCTCATATTCATGATTCTCACTGCAAGGAAGCGGCGCCAGTCAGAGGGAACCTACAGCCCAAGTCAGCAAGAAGTGGCAGGAGCTCGCTTGGA